GTGCTGAAGACAGCGGCATCATAGACATGGATCCAGAGGCGGCATAGTGTCTGCTTGCTGAAGTGGGATCTCCCGATGCAAAAATGCGCTTAAGCACCTAACGAACGCTGTACTCTAAAGGTAGCTCCTTCAGCATTCCTCATGGTCTATGCAAACCTTTTCAAGAGCGGCAGAGGTCAAAAAGAAGCTGCAAGTGAAAACAGCAGTGGCTCTGCGACGCGCGGCGCAGGCCCAACCCTCCATGCTTTGTCGCGCTTAGCTGGGAACGGCTGAATGGTAAAGAGCATTATGTGGAAACTACGATGTTTTTGAGTTTATTCTTGTCAAGATTTACTGGAGAATGGACGAATGGAGGACAGGGTCATAGGTCTCATGATGTCGATCAGTACTTCTCAAATGATTTCCGCCAGATTTTTCCGTGGATTCCTTCAGTCAAGACATATGAAAACCATGTAAGACCAATAGAAACCGAGGAAATGAAGGAGATCCCCGAATCCTCATAATTCCCCCCTCAGTTACCTCGGAAGCCGGGTTGATGTGGCCCCTGTTAGAAGTGGTCTTCCCCCTTTTAACTGTGTTCTTCCCGGATTTAGGCCGTTGAGCAACATAGTGAATGTTACGAGGATTTAACATGAGGGGGAATGGACCCGTCACAGGCGCATGAAGGCGCTTGAGAAAGCGTTGTTCATGTAATGCATAGCCTAGCTCATCCTAAGATGTTTCCCGCGAGGCCTGGGATCAGTGGGCACATGCAGCATGCTCAGATTCTCTGCGCGCTTGTGTTTGCTTGAAGTCACAGCTTTACGCGCGCAGATAGCAAAGGCCCTTTTCCACTACAGTTTGGTGCCTGGCGTCTTCGCCTATGGACTGTGGTGCGCAACTGGCAGTGCCTTGCCCTGCAGCTCCAATCTTTGGGGTTCGTGTGAACCAGGTACTCGGGTGAGTTTACACTCAATCCCGCAACGCTGTTCGCAGTGGCCTGAGCTTGCGAGGTTGTGGATCTTTCTGTCACAGTCGTGTCTATTCTGAAGTTTTAGCACTCTGCGGAGCATGGCTGAGTTCAAGATAATCCTCGATGCGTGAGCCAGCCTGGAGCATGAATGCTCTGACCAGAGAGGAGAGCAGGGCCTGCAGTGGACGAACAGATCCCCCCGTGTTGCAGCGCGGGCGAGAACGAAATGATTCATTGCAACTACATCGCATGTTCACCTGACATGTAGAAAGAAATAGTCATCTCTGACCACAAGGGAGAACTGCCTCTGGCAGTGTGCAGCAAGCGCGCTAGAAGTCGAGCCCTGCAACGAGAGCAAACCTCCATGGCTTGCTTGCAGATTCTTAGTCGGATGGTGTTGTCCCTTTCAGAGCTTTGGGATCCAAGGAGGGTTGGCATGTTTGCGTGTAGGAATTTCCAAGCTGTTGACCCAGAAAGCTCGGGAGCATATTTCATCCCCATGACCTGCTACATACGGATCTTACGCATCTTACACCTGTACACGCAGCACACAGCACAGCCCCAACTTGAGCCGCGGATGCCATGGAGCTGCGGTGACCCTTACGTGAGCCTGACACCTTCAGATCCCCCCGAGTTTGAAAGCACCTTGGCTCCGCTTGGCTCGTTAGGAAAATGACTGCTGCATCGTGTGCGAATAATGTCTTCGGCTCAGGCGAACTTGAGGCTCGGACTGAGAGTGCCTCCAAAAAGAGGCGGTTGGACCATGCAGCCTCCTCGAGACACCTCCATGCAGCCTTTCAGGTGCCTGGTGCAAAGGTTTCACTGTGTTGAGGGAGAGACTTTGGTGCTGGGCCACTGTGCGCCCTCAGGCAGGCCACTTCCCACCGCGTCCTTGGACGGGAAGCCGAAAATGGAAGCACCGCAGGAAAGAAGTGGAGCCCCTGGAGAAAACGGGCAAAAAGGCTGGGCAAAGATGGACCTCTCCCTCAGTTTTGGGGAAGCAAAATGACTCAGGTGAATGTCAGTGCCTTCTACGCTTTCATGTGGCGGCGCGAAGGATTGCGACGACGCCGGGAGCTGCTGCGGCTGCCGCCGGAGGCCTGGCCGGATAAAGTGTAACAGAGTGTTTAGCCTTTCCATGGCAGATCTGCTTACTTTGATGGGTTTGGTGTCTTCTTGCACCGAGATGCTGCTGTCTCTCTTGGCCCTGCAGAGAGGGAGAGAGTAAGGTTCCTTCCACTTTTGCCTTTTTGCGGATTGTAAGCAGGACATGGTGGGGGTTCGCAAGACCAGTGTTGTTCTCTGCAATACGATGCAGTAATGACCCAGTTTGCGCACGCTTTGCAGAAGTGGACGAAAGACAACGTGATGGCACGAATCCGACTGACGAACGTCAAGAGGGAAGACGACCGCACAACCCGTGTGATGCGGAGGATTTGCAACAACTACGTGGAGCCCCATCTGCATTTCTGGAAGCCAACATGACCTATGCAGCTTGCATCCTCGAAGATGTTCTGGCTGGTAGTTACGCTGAAAGAATAGAAGTGTAAGTCAGTTGGGAATGTGGGGACTAGAAGACTGCGTAGAATCTCGGAATCCTTAAACGATGACATTTATTGTCATCAAGACCCCCACATCCTTGGCTGATTTGGGTGGACATGATCCTTGCTATCCCGTGCAATCCCGCATGTGTGAGGACCGGCATCCCGAACTCCGAGAGTTACGGAAGATACCAGTACGCCTTTGGGACAGCCACCTGCAAATGTCGGCACGCTGGCTTGCGTGGGCCTCAGGGCCAAGAAGGATGATGTACTCGGGGTGTTGTAGGACTTATGGTGTTGCGTTCGTCTCTGTTGCCGCGATGATACTGTATTTCTAGTCTTTGTGGCGCCAAGGAGCAGAATGTGTTGCTTTGCATGTGCAAACAGCACAACCTGAGGAGCCCCTGTTTGGATCACACTCTATCAGTTTCGCTAAGTCTTGGTGGGCAGATGAGTGCAGGGAAGGCCGCTAACGTTGCGCTGAGTCAGCATCATTGCTGGTAGGGTTTTACTGCTGTTTTACCTCAAAAGGCATGTTGCATGATTTGCTTGGTGAGGTTTTCAACTTTGCGCTGTGGCGCGCCTTTGGCACCGACACCTTTGCCGAGTCCATAGGTTTCTTGACGAACCGGACCTGGAGCAAAGACGTGCAACAGACTGCGCTAGCCCCAGGAAGGGTGCTTTGGAGGTCTTCGTTTCGGAGACGGTTGGAAAAGTAGTGCGACGTGCCCTCATATGGGGGGGGACAGGTTTGGATGGGGCTGATGGCAAGCCGAGCAGCGTCATTAGATTACACTAAGACTGAGACTTGAAGCCGCGTCCCGGAAATGAACAACTCAGGATCAGGATAGATTGCAGCAATAAGGGTCAGTTATAGTGAGGCATGCCGGTGGCAGGAGCAGCGGTAGCAGACCAGAAGAGAATGAATGGCTGTCAGAGTACTGGATCTGCAGCGGCCAAAACATGGGGATTTGAGGTCGTGCAGGCAGCCATCAGGCGGTGGAGTTCAGGCCACTTCAACTACACCGATGCCTATGACGCTGGGCTGTGACCCTTCATGTGCTGAGTAGGTGAAGAGGGGTGCGTTGTGTTGTTGTTTGGTGTCCCATTTCGGGGCAAAAAGTTACCATAAACACCAGGCTGAAAGGTATGGGCTGTCTACTTGATGTATAGCCTAGTACATCTTCAGTGGCGCTGCTCGCACTTGCGGGTCCTTTTCGGGCCTCATCATAGATTGGATTCATTTCTAGCCTTGGGGTATGTGGGGGGTTTCTAGGTGGAAGAAATCCGCAGTTTAGGCTGCACAGAAAGGTATTCAAGCAGAAAGCATCACTACACAGCCCAGGATCCCTGCCGCAGCAACCGCCACGACGAAAGGAACGCCCGGCTTTGTGGGGGAGTTGGTTTGGCGCCTTGGCTCAAGCTTTTAGAGGCCTGGATCTCCTGAATGGTTGTGTAGCAAGCCTTGGCACGGCCCAATGACATGATACCAGCAATTTTTGGGTGCTTGGGCAGAGTGCAGCCCAGTAAGACGCGCATGTCGCATGATTTGTTGCGTGAGTCCCAGGTCCCTGGTTGCTGTGCCTGACATGCCATTTTTATCTGGGCTTTTCCGTGGGTGCATGCTTCTGAGGTCCAACACTTGTACAGCAGGACTTGCGCAAGTCTTGCGTGGAACTCAGCCCATTTTGTGGTGGTTCTCAGAATTATGAGTGCTCTGTCGAGGCGAGGAGAATGTCCCAGGGGGTGTGCAACTATAAACACATTGAACCATACCCAGATCTGTCCAGCATTGAATGCGCTGGGGTTGGCAGGAGGAGTCAGTGTCTGTCGTGACCCGTAATTACCAATGCCGTGCTGGCGGTGGTCATGGTACAGCTAGGGATCACCAGGCAAGTCACCGGATTCGCAAAAACAGTAGCATACGAACACCTCTTCTCCAGCATTTGCTCTTGCTGTGGTTGAGGGTTGTGATTGGTGCAACCGGTACTCTCAGGCAGGCCTTTGGCAAGCCTGTGACGACATTGCCGAGCCCTCAAGTGCGCTTCCTGCCTGGTGCATAGAGCGCTTGCACCTGTCTTTTTCTCAAACTGCGTGTGTTTGCCTCGAGGCGGGGGTTGCGGTTACCAGCAGCTCTTGGCAGAAAGTGACCCGGCCGCTTGCCTGAAAATTAGGGTGAAAATCCAATAGATACCCTATTATACTTTTGTAGTTTCCATTTTGTTTTCCATTATCCCAATATCCCCTAAACCCTATAGGTTTCGAAGCAGCTCTCACCTTGCAACGCCCTCTCAGCATGGGATCTATCTTCTCGCGAGTGGAGGGGGGGGAAGTTGCCAAAAGTCGTCTCCTACTTCTTGTCATCGTGCAGGTACTAGTACCATGAGCAAGTTGCACCACTTCAGCCTTGAAAGCTTTTGCAATGCGCGGCCTGTAAGGTGCGTGATGAGGGTGAGCGGCTACGGAGGGACAGGATTTCTGGCCAAAGAGCTCGTACAGGATGGCGTGTCGGCTACATGTTGTTCTCAAGGTGGAAGATGTTGAAAATATTGAGGCCAGGCTTGTGATGGTCATGTGTACCATTTGCTTCTATTGTTGCAAGGGCATAGTGCTGTTCTGTGGGCTTGAAAGTGTTGACCATCAGAGGTTGAGCTTTTTTATTGGAAGTGCAGGCGCATGCATGCACCTTATGGCCCTGTACCCTTTTTCGTTGGAGGACCTGCTGCACACGCCTCTCTTCCAGTCGTGGAGTCCGCAGCAAGCAAAGTGGGTGGGCCGATGCGTCGACCTAAACAGTGGGGCTCCCAGCTCTTGGTGCCTAATAATAGCAATACTGGCAAGAAGAGCAATAGTAATAATAATAAGAATAGTAATAATCGTAGGAATACTAGCAACAATGGTAATCATATTTACCATAGTTTTACTAATTGTAATCATAGTAATACTCATTAGAAAAGAGCGCATGTTCTGTTTGGCAAAATGCCGTGCCACGCCACAGGCTGGTGTGCAGTGGGTCCGGGTGCGCGCCGCGGCTTGAACCGTTTGTATGGCCGAAGGGTCAACTGGAATGCCTACTGCGACGACGATCGCGTGGCACATCAGTGCCTGGATGGCAAAAACATTCAGAGCAGGTTTTGAATCTTGGGATATTGCCCCAATATGGTTCAATATGGAAGATCAAATGGAAACGACGATGGACTGACATGGAAGAGCTGGGTTTATGATTTGTGGAGAAAGGAGGACAGTGAGGGCAGTTCATTTTGAGCTTGGACTCCGTAAAACTGGCGTGAGCGCCTTCCACACCCACTTTTCAGGGCACAGTGTGGCCGTCTTTACAAGACCAACTTGCTACTGAAGGCAGGTACATCCATCTACTAGCAAGTGTCCCAGCTGCCACTGACAGACTTCTACCTGAGGTTCCTCCGTGAGCTCCAGGAGGTCTTTGAGGATCGCAAAAAGTACTGGCACGGCGATTTGGAGGGCTTCCCCATCTTTGACCTTGAGCTTCATGACGAGCCTTACCTGCAAGCCCTGCAAGCCTTCGAAGCGCTTCACATGCACGTGATCAGGAGCCCGTAGTGAACTACGGCTGAGGTGCAATTCCAGCTGTGTGAGCTGGCACCTTGGACGCACTGGCAGCGGCGTACTTTTGGGGCCAGTTGAATCAGCTTGTCGAGCTGCACCCAACTTTCACGTAGAAGGTTTGATGGCTAAGAGTGGTTAGCAGCTAGCACAATCGAGGATAAGTACGAACGCGAAAAGAAAAAGCCCGGCCAAGTCCGGCCCTACTTGCCGCCAAAGGACCGGGCCAGCGAATGATCCGCGTGCGTTTTCCTCTGCTTTTGCAGCTCTTTCCCACAGGTGGACCTGGCTGAAGTGGCTGAGCTGGAGGAGGAGGATTCGGAGGATGAGCGCGTGTGGGTCACGCTGGCGAAGCGTGTGTGAGCCTTGGAGCTCCGACGCCAGGGGAGTGAGGGCAGCTGCACGTAGCCTCGCTCGTAGCCTCGCTGTGACCAGGCAAAGCCTTTAGCCCCCGCGCAGATCGTCGACGAGGATGTGAAGGAGGACCACCAAGATTTGATCAGTTTATCCAGTTTCAGAAAGGTGGGCAACTTCAAGAGCTCAGCGCAGCTGTAGTGTGTGAATGTTATCTCCTCCCGCTTTGTGCTCAGAGGATGCGCCGGAAGAAGCGAGGGAAGAACGGTTGAAGTCCTTCATTGACTCCTGCTTCGCCGACTTCGACCGCAACGTGGAGCATCTGCAGCAAGCTTTCGATGCTTCTGCTAAGCAGGCTGTCGATGCAATGCTTGGTCATAGACTGTCGTCTCGTCTACCGGGCGTTTTTTCTACTGCTCCAGCGTTTAGCGAGTCTCGCAGAGCCGCATCATCCAAATCCATGAATCTGAGGCGAGCAAGGTTCGTGAAGCAAGTGTTCCTGGAAGCCTCCCGCTAAGTGAAGTTGCTTTAGAGAATTCAGAGACCTCTCTGTGAGAGGTGCAAGACAACGCTTTACCCCTGCACCCTCCCTGCCCCGAACCCTGCCCGACAACCTTTGAAGCCCAACTTTCCAGAGCTCGAGCCTGGAGAAAAATGCTGTACAGATACAGGACCTGCTTGCAACCCGATGGAGAAAGGAGTTTGCATGCAAGCGATCTGTCTGCGTGTGTCTGGCTTGCTTTGCGTGTGTGGCCAATTCCCGTGGATGCCGGGTCTGCACTGCTGTTCAAGCCACGGGAGGGATAACTCCGTATGACTCAGTGGCATCCATTCGCGCTAGGATCTGTTGCGGAACTTTTGAGCTCCAGAACTCCGTATGGCTGGGCACAGTCTTTTGTTCGGCTGATATGGCAAGGCAGCATCAGAGTATGGCAGTGATGAGTCGCAATAGGACTGCGACTCTTCGAGCAGTCGTGCTGTTTGAGTTCCGGTTAAGGATGATCAGTGATGTGGACGATGAGGGGCGCCTCTCAACAGGTAAAACCCTCCAGGCGATTGCGATCCCCTTTTTTGTCCAGAGGGTGCTTTTTGAAGTTGAAGGTGGCCTACTAGCCAATCTTGAATCACGCACGTGGCCATGGTTGCCTCCCCCGACAGGGCCTTGCTTCGGGCCACCACATTTGGGTGCTCGGCTGGCGGGTTAGAGCAGCTTCTGGCCCAGCGGGCAGACATCCATGCAGAGACAGATCGTGGGCAGAGTCCCTTGCAATTGGCTGCCAAGGTTGGGTCTGCAAGAAGGCATGGGATGAGTCATCCTTTGGGCATAAGATGGGCTATGTACTGTATGATGTATCCCTCATCATACATCCATGACCCGCCATGCATGTCCATCAGTTGCCCTTAAACATTTGTACCCTGAGGCGGGTCATGCCCATTTGGTCGAAGCCCTGGTGGCTGCCAGGGCGGATCCCGACCACGGAAACTCCTGCGATGGGACGCCCCTGTACAGTGCAGCTTACCATGACAATGAAAAGGTCGTGGACGTTTTGCTGCGCTGCAGGGCAGATATAAATTTGGCCTTCCACCGCTGCCCACCACCTCTCTTTGGTGCGGCCCATACTGGGAATTTGGAGCTGGTGCAGAAACTCTTAGCAGAAAGGGCCAATGTAGATGCAACTTGACTGGCAGGTTGTTGGATGGAGCGTGCCGATTTTCTTCGCTTTGTTTTCATTCTTGAGTTCTTCAGGTCGTTTTCCCAGAAGTAGCTTGGAGGTAGTGTCGGTGGTTAAATGCACAGCGTAAGTCAAATAGCTGCAGGAGAAAGCCAACTGGGATGGAAGTACTACTGCAATTCTGCAGACCTCTCTCCACGGGTACTCGCAAGTGGTGGCAGAACTCATCGCAGCCCGTGCTGATGTGAATGTCCGCCGCACCGATACCACGGTCATGGACTGCGGAGCCACGTCGGTGCTTCTGGCCGCCAAGCGGGGTCACGCTGAGACGGTGAAGCTTTTGCTACAGAGCAGGTGCAGTGTGAATGCCAGCAACACAAATTCTGAAAGCCCGTTGTTTGGAGCAGCCTTTCACAATCACCCTGAAACCGTGCAAGTGTTGCTGGAGGGAAGGGCGGATCTTCAGCAAAGAGCTGAAGTTGAGGATATGCCCACAGCTTTACATGCTGCGGCCAAAAGGGACAACCTGGAGGTTGCTCAATTGCTTCTGATTGCCAGGGCTGATCTCACATGCCTTTCTCCGGATGGGCACTCGCCATTGGATCTGGCCAAGAGCGATGAAATGAGGCAAATCCTGGGCGGTGGACAGAAGAGGGCCAGGTCTGAAAATGCCGAAAGTCCTGGTAGCCCAGGATAAATCCATCAAGCTTTCATGCTACCATCGCCAGGTTTGGACAGAGAAAAGTGGTCCAGCTAGCTCTCGCAGCTCCTAGTGCTGAGAGGCTCAATAAGTCCGAGAGACTTGGACACCCCTGGTTCCATTCGGCACTAAGAAATTCTTCCAGGCACCCATAGTTACCGACGACTTCATGGACCAGCCGGAGCTGCACCGCAAAACGGGCGATGGGGCGCATCTGTATCCCTGTATCTTCAACTTTTTAGGATGACGCCTGGGATTGCAATACTCGGTCGTCTAACCCAAAAGCGGATTCTGTGTGTGTGTGAACAAGAAGCTATGCCTGTCGTCAACTCCTCGGTGTTTCACTGTGGTTTCAATGCAGAGCTTCATGTTTTAGTTCTTTGTCTTAAAGTCTTAGCAATCAGCTCACTCTGCGTCCTTTCGCTCTTCCTGTATCTTGACTGAGACAAGTTGCCGCTTCAGGGTGCAAGCTGGCAAACACAGGAAACATGTTTGTAGTAGCACCCTTGCACCCCTTACCATCCCTTACCTGTACCCAGCTCAATGCCAAGAGGAGTAGCAGAACAGCCTTTCACAATAGTAGCGAAAAACACCGCAGCAACTGGAAGCATGGGAGGTCTGGTAAGCGAGCTCTTGAATCCCCAGCCATCACATACCTTATCCCCAGTACTTCGTGACACTTTGAAGAGACCCCAAATGTACGATACTAGTTTCCTTTGCATTTTCCATTATCCCTATATAACCCCAATATACCCTTATATTAAAGGTACTTTATATACTAAATTAGTTTCCATTCTATTTTCCATTATCCCTATAAAACCCCCAGTACTTCCAGCAGCCTGAAGCAAGCGGACTTTCGTCCCTGCCCATGGGGATCCTGAGCCTGCGGCCATGCCGACAAGCGAGCCAAAGACAGTGCCGAAGGCCGTCCCCAAGGGAGAGACGAAGGCTGGACAGAAGACAGGGGTTATATTGGGATAGTATAGGGGTTATATAAGGGGTATTTTGGGATAGTATAGGGGTTATACAAGAGTTCTATTGGGATAGTGGGAAATAAAATGGAAACTACTATTAAGGACAAACCAGGGGGCTTTCTGAATTTGTGGGGGTGGGGATTGAACCATCGTGGAGATGTGTGAAACCGTTAGTGATGCAGTGAGGGTTCCTGTCATGCGTCAGGCTGATGCTCGAGCCGACAGCGCGGGGAGACAGGCAAGTTGCCTGCGTGGACATGCAGCGCAAGGGACTACAGATTTGCGATCGCCACCGCAAATCATTGTGCAGAATCTTAGTCAGAGTATTGAACATGGTGGGAGAAATGAGAATCTTCGTAGGAACACGACATGTCAAGTCAAGTGCATCTGGACGGAGGATGTGGCAGTACTTGATATGCTCGCGCAGATTAGCATTAGACACCATGCTCCTGCCTGGTTTAGCGTGAGTCCGCGGGGAGTTCCTGGTTGCCGGAGGGATTGTGGGTGACATGTAGTGAGGACTGGAACTTTGAAGCTACTTCCTTCACAACGCACACGAGAAGCATAGCTCATGGCAACTTCCCGTTCCCAAAGTAGCATAGAAATTCTGATGTTTGTTCGGTCATGGGCAACTGCCTTTGGCAAGCTGTGATGGCGGCAGTCACGAAAAAGGCCGAAAAACGGTCTGCATGATTCTAGGCCTCTTGAAGTCTGAAGCTTCTAAGCGACTCAAATCCCCGGAAGGAGTTCAGGAGTCGAGCACGCAATAAGTTTTAGATACAGGGCTTCGCAAATCTTCAGGCATGACTGATGCAGATTCTACGGCTTATTCCTTGGCGCAATACCCTCACTGCTGCACCAAAGCTTGTGACATTGGATGTGCAGCTTTGTCGTTGATAGCACTGTGGACCAAGTTGGGAATGTTTTTTTGGTTCAATATCCATACGTTTAGCAGCATACCCTAACAGCCCCTAGGAATAGTACAGCTTATGACAGGACCCGAGAAGGCGCGCGCAATACCTCATCAATTGCGTAAGGGTGCAGTGTAATCTCTTTAGGTTGGGCTGGGAATACCAAAATATGCCAGCCCACCTCACGGTTGATCGACAGTGGAAGAACAGCTTGTCGGTTCATAACTATGGGTGTCAACTTACAGCTACAAAGCACCCAAATCGTGTTTTAAGCTGGAGGCAGCACGTTGGCAGACCTGCTTCATGCCAACAACCTCAGGTTGGAGGCAGGTTTCCAAGCTGGTTGTGCTCCATGGTAGCTTCCCCGTGCTCATGATTGCACACGACTCACAATATCAGAAAGACAACAGTCTCCAATGAGCTGTCCCCAAGCACTTGCTCCACACGCCATGGTTTCAAAAAAACTCCTTAAGCCTTAAGCATCGAAGCTGCAATGGGGCTTGCTTGCAAGACCTGAACACGAACGTACCTGATAGTATTTAATGTGTCTTTCTCTTTCAAAACTTTCCGTTGTCGGGTATGGTGGTGGTGACTATCTAAGGCTTCTAGGGAATTGGTTATTGGTTTCCGCTGTGGCTCATCTATCAGCTGGTCTTGGTATTCATGACTACTGGGGTTCCCGGATAACCACTCGCATCCCAGACTGACAACACGCACTCATCCCCACCGGCAGGGCAAAGAGCTGCTGGTGGTCCCAGAGCAGCTTGGTGTCACGACATATTGATGGGTTGAGGCAGCGTTTGCATGTCTTAAGTGCCTTCGCGATGCGTGGGTCACGTGTGTGACGCCCCCCTTAGTATCGACGTAATTAGCGAAAAGATGTGGTGGCTACGTTGGCTGAAGTCCCGATTGAAACTATGAAGCCCAAAGACCCAGCTTTGAACGTCGACGCTACGCCAAGTTCTCTTTGCATTCATGCTCGTGTCAAAAAGCACTGCGCCCCTTGCTTGTAGCATGCGGGCATGGATAAATGGCCGTATGGATCATCTTCGGTACAGCATGCATTTTCTGTTCCGCCTTGGAAAAAGAGTTCATGCTTTACATGGGGCTGGGAACTACCATGTATACACACAAAAGAAACGTCTCAGAGCTGTAAACTCCGAAGCTTCACTTCAAGCAAGTAAGACAAACCCTGAAGCGCTTTGAGAGCCTGGAAAAGTGACCAGCCAGTAAGAACTCACAAGCCGCCAAAATTGTCAAATTCAAGGCGGCTTGAAGTGACTGAGCCTTCTGAAGGAGAAGGCAAGAGACGGGGAGAGGGGAGAATGCAGCGCACAAAAAAGAGGCGCGAGCCACAAGGCCACGGACTTTTGGTTCTGGGTCAACATGAGTGGACCCTGGGACGCTATTCTGGCATGGGCTGTTACCAAGCAGTTGCTATTCTGACTTGTTGGCCAACTCAAAGACCAGCTAGCCATGATAGCAGTGAAGGCCATGAAATGACCGTTGCCGTGTAGCCCACAGGTTGGTTCAATCCTCAACTCATTTTAGCCACGCGAATTTGTTGCGTGCAGCTTTGCTTGAGTCAAGCTGCGCATACGTTGGAGATTGATTTTTGGCGTCATTTAGGTAATGTGCAGCAAGTAAGACAGGTCCTGGATGGAATGCGCGAAGACATCATATGTACAAATGAGTGGAGTGGCATTCACGGTCCAATGATCACATGCGTCGTCTTGCTTCAATGGCTAGAAATTGCTGTTTTCAGTGCACACCGGTACGCGAGACAATTTCAGAAGAGCATCTAAGTTCTCGCGGGTGCTTGTGGCAGATTTTGCGTGTTTTGCCAAGATGGATCGCATAACAATACAAGAACGTTCTGCCTGGGCTCAAAGTACAAGAGGCTCTTGCCGTGGGGCTTCCGTGTATGAGGCGCCTTGACCGACATGTGAAGACATGTAAGCCCCCCCCCCCCCACTTGGATGGCGCGGTGATTCTCGGGATGCATGAGGTTCTGCGGTTGCACCCCCTTTTCTTTTGAAACCGCAACCCCATGCGGGTCTTGCGCATCCACTATGGTCTCTCAACGCGTGTTTCGGTTCACTGGCAGGCCATTTCGCAATCATGGCATCTCCATGAATATTATAAAGAGGTTGAATGCATGGTGTTGCCGGTCATTGTAGTCAATGCTTCATTGACATAAACCCTCCCACAACTATGTTCATGGGCAGCACGTGTTGCAAAAATCATGCCGCTTGAGCAGACGTCATTCAGACTTCCACTTTGTGATTGCAAGCCTGTCGACTGATGTCAGCGGCTTTGGCCCCCACCCTCGAAGCTCTTAGGATCTCAAACCTTACTTAACCCTGAAGGCTGAAATTCCTAACCCAGAAAAACCCACCAGGTTGAAAATCACAAAAACTTGCCACATAGCTGTTCTGAAGCCAGCCATGCGTTGCGAATGGATTGCAGGCGCCTTGGCTCAATCAAGAGTGGACATGGGACGGCTTGCCAAGATTTTTGGCCTTCAATCATAGCGGTTTAAATTGTCATATGTATGACACAGGTCACCTGATATTCGAGGTCACCTGATATTGGAGGCCCTGCGTGGCAGTACTGGCCTAAAGCACAACGATTCAAGGGCTTCATCGTACGTAAGGTCCTTCACTCTCCGTGGTAGAAACTGCGTGAAACACGGAAGGAGATTCCCAGCGTATTCGTAGGCGTTGGAGCCTTGTTCGACAGCTTTCACGGGGCAGTGGTTTCAAGAGTTGGCCATTTGGGTATAGGCAGGGGTCTCCACTTGTTGCTTTAGCAAAGCCCGATAGTTCGCTCAAGCTGTCGCAGGTTGCCCTCAGTGCATTGCATCTCAGTGATCCCACAAATTCGAGCTTCTAGCTGCTTAGCTTCCGACCTTGGACTTGCAAGTAGGACAAGCCTGTAATTTCAAGCTTTCCTGTTTGGCAGCATCCAGACCACAACAGATCCTACAACCTGCCAGGAAGCCCGCTAGACAACGGTCCACCTATTTCTGAGACAAACACACACTCCACCTCCGCTCCCCTTTGTCTGAAGTTTCTCAAATACAGCCCGTATACCCCAACAATCTCTTGAT